TAGGTGGTCTTATAATTAATTAAATCGTGAGTTTTTGTTTCAAAGTATTTGATGAATGCTAAGACGATTGATCCGGCTAGGGGGAGTCTGGGGAGTTACCCGAATCAGAGTTGGGGGACTTTGACTCGGAGATCGACTCTCTGCATGCTTCTCAAACCAAGGTATCCGAGTTAGACTCGGAGCTCGACTCTATGCTCAAAGAAGTTACTTTATGGAGAACGCAAAATTTTCTCCCTTTTGATGATGCAAGACCTAGTGTGATGCACAATCTCCCGGGACCTAGTGTGATTTCAAAGAAGAAGAACAACAAAAAGGCAAGAAAAGATTAAAATATTTATATCTTTCCCTTGAAAACTATTGTTACATACTACTAAATTTGTTTTTTTCGTCTTATAATATATAACATCGGCTTTAAATTCCTGGTGGAACTAAGCCTCGAAAGAATTGTTTTATGGGTTTAGATTGAAGTAATGTGACAGAAACTCAAGTGCATTAATTTTCCAACTTACCACTGAAAATGGGAATATATTCTCTAATGATGAGTCTTCAAGCGACTATAAGATGACATAAAAGAAAAGAGCTAATGTTATATATAGGAGGTTTGGTTTGATGGGTCAACGGATATGCTCAGCTCAACACATTCTTACAAAATAAGCTAAGTTTGTTCTGTGTGTATATGGCCTAAGGTTTACATTTAACTTAAAGAGCCACTTACTTTGGTCACACTCCAGTGTTTACATCATCGCCATGACGAAACCAACCGAAGCAGCACGTCTCTTTGTATCGATTTGGAACCATGGGATGTTGTTCTATACTCTACTAAAATGTTATAATTTTGTGCTCTCATTTTTTCATATTTCTGCATATGGACATCGGCTAATACTACTAAAATAGTATTACTGTGCTTTTCTTAACTATCTTCAAGAACATATATCCATAAGTTTTCAAATTATTGTCTCAACAAAACATGTAAATTAATTATCAAGATTTATAAACACTCAAACATTGTTATAACATCAATACGAATTAAAATATTACAAATCATAAAATTGTTTCCCTGTGAACATAATCCAGGCACCATGTCAATGACAAGAAAGGGTTAACTTAAAACAGGATACAAACCAGACTCAGATTTAGACCCAATTTAAGTTGCTTACTGTAGTAATATTTTCAAATATTTTCCCTTATTGAGACGAAATTTTGATGTAAATTAAATAAGTGTCTAAGGAGTTGACAACGAGCATAAAATTTTGGCTAAAATATTAATTTGATAACGAGCATATAAAAGTTGTTTATCCCACTAGTGGTAAAAAAAAGGTTATCAAATGCATTATAGTCTTTTGACTATATGATGAGTCTCTAAATAATATATTCTCATGCACCTTAAAGGAAAATCTCGAATTTCATTTTATATTCCATTTTATCAACAAGTTTTTAAATCAATAACAATTCCATACCAAACAAAAAGAGCATAAATGTCATAAAGAATAACAA